GTTCTGTATGTGCCTCCTGTCTGACTGCAGAGGGCACCAGACCACAACACCTGACGGAGCTCTTCCTCCACACGCTGCCAGAAATCTGAAATCCTGACGGACTTGAAGCAGAAATCTTCAGATAATTTTTCTTTTACTTACGAGCAGTTTCCATCTTAATTCAGATCCAAATGACAGAGATGCATAAAGAGAAACATACAGAAAAGACCAAACAACATGTGGTGTTTCAGGCACTTCATTACCAAATTTAGGGCATATTGACTTAAATTGTTGCCACAAAATGAAACTCTCCATGAAATTCAGATTGTCTTCAGTGGCTGATCCGTGTCTCAGGAGGTCCGTCCCAATTGGACAGAGAGCTTTAGTCATGTCTCTCTCTGAGAATCTCCCTGTGGTTGTGTCCGTCTGAAACATGTCAGCCGTGCAGATAAATGGGAGGCGACATCTTCTCTTGTCACTAATGAGGAACCCCGGAGTGGGACGGTACTCTGGGCTCATGAGTAACAGTACTCCAAACGCTCTGGATCATGCCTGAGTCGCTGCATTCATTTTGCAGGCGTCCTTTCTTTCCTGACTGCAGCTTTTGAACTTATCATCAGTTGCTTTGCTTCATTGTAGTTAATAAACATCATCGACTGCCTCTGATCTGTTCATTTGATCTGTAACTTTCATATATTTAATAAAGCAAGCACCTTTGTTCTTTGAATATTTACAGGCCCTTGAAGTACACAGAGGGGAACAATATATATATATTTTCAGTTCCTATTACTTTTTCATAACTTCATTTGCGAAGGAGCTAGCCACGTGAAATGTGTAGAGCTGAAAGACACATTTGCTAAAAACTGCAACCAAATATAATTTACATCCACTCCAGGTTCAATAAGCCAAAATCTAGTTTCTCTTATAAGCAGCTTTAAGCATCACAGGATGTGTCACAGTCCCAACAGCACAACAGTTTAAAGTCTACGATGGAAACAAGCATCGGTCGCCTGGATGTGTCACGGTTTTATTGTCAGGCGGTAAACAACGAGGATGATGTGTGATATCCAATACTTGTCTTGTCGATGGGGGAGGAAGGAAATTGTGCAGGAATTATGACAGATTTAATCCCCTGAGTAAATAAACTTCTGCATCTTGTGAGTGTCAACATATTAGAAACGTACCTGGACACAGAAGGAAATGTGGAGGAAAGATGAGCCACGTATCAGAGTATTGGTAGAAATCAGACCTTTTATTTGCTATAACTTGTTTTGATCAACCAACTATCCCACATGATGATCCATCCATCCATCATCTCTACACCTTAATCCTCACCAGGGTCATGGGGGGCTGGAGTCTATCCCAGCTGACTCAGGGTGAAGGCAGGTTCACCTGGACAGGTAACCAGTCTATCACAGGGCTACACTTAGAGACAGACCAAGCACACTCTACACCTACGGACAGAAAACACACCCACAGAGCCGATTCTTGTTCCCGTTACTCCGTCATAGACGATGAGCCGGTGCTGTCTGATGATATTTCCAGTGATACTGATGGTCAAAGCTAGCTACAGAAAAACGATGCTGAACAAGAATGAGACTTTGGATTTAGACTGTGACACCTGGAGGGGATGTACGAGTTTGGTTTAAACAGATCTCCTGCACTTATAAAGGTTTAAGGGCTCAATAATACTGAAAAAAGTCATGTAAACAACTGTCTGAAATTTCAACTACCTGTTTAAGGGCCTGGAAATACTCATATCATGTGGGTAGAATTTTGCCTGAATTAATCACAGATACTAGTTATTGCACAAATAAACAGCTGATTCTGATGGTGTAAGTTTGTTCAGATTTTTAAAATTATATTTATATATATATTGACCCATTAGGTGTTTTCCTGTAAGATTTATTTCACATCTTTGTTATTTATTTTGTCTCAATATGAGGGTTCTTGAAGTTAAGTTTTGGTTATTGTATGTTTCAGCTTTAGTATATAATCACACATGTATTCCTACAGTTACGCAGCACAATAAACTGAGCAATAGTTATTTATTTGGCACGTTGTATAAGATAATGTGAAGTAAAACAGAGACTGAAATAAATAAAACTTCACAAAACAAGTGCCTTTTCAAACTTTTCTCCACCAATCTGCAATGTAAAAGAAAAGAGAAGTTTAGGAGAATCAGCTTTAAATCTGGTCCTGAACCCTGAAATGTCACATTGTTTAATAATTTGAAATGAAAGCACAGAACAATCATCTACGTCTTGGACATTTATCCGTTTTGAACATGAACACGGTCCCATGTGTTCATTGTTCTGATCCGCAGCGTCGTCATCGTGCTGACAAATGGACGGTCGAGGCCCTGCAGCACTGAGGATTGTGCTCAGCCATTTGCAGGGATGGCCGGTGCTATGGTGAGTGTTCACAGGGCAGTTCCCCGCACCGGCAGACCAAATGCTGCTGTGGAGACCATCTGCTGAGTGAGCAGCAAGCAGAGAGAGCCGCAGTCTGTCTCCCGAAGCTGCATCATCTTCACATGTTCTCCGTCTTCTTGTGCTAATGTGAATAAATCTATTAAATCAGTTGTGGCTTGAAATTATTTGTGTTTTGAGCCACTTTCTAATAACATGCCTTTATAGGGGGATTGTACAGTTTAATAACTAATTGTTTTATGTATTGTTATTAAATTATTAGTAAGGTTTTGGATGATTTGCATCATTAATCAGAGACCTTTAAGGCTGGAACGAGGCAATTTGAAGCCATGAAGGGACTATTTTCACAGAAAACAGACTCTAGATGTAGAACTTTTATACAAACTACTCATATTACACCGTTCATATTCACTACAGTTATCTTTATGTTATTGTTATTTTTTCCAGCCATATCTGGCACAAGAATTTGTTTTGGGATTATTAAAGTTTTGTCTTAAGCGACAAAGATTTGATTTGTGGGTTTAAATCAAGGACTTTAAAATTTGACATGAAAGTGTATAATCAAATGGATTATAAAGGTTTATAACTAGAGACTATGCAGCAATAAGACAAACTAATGTGGCCCTGTATTAATGCGTACATTTAAAAATCATTAATTTATCAGATATCATGTATAAAACACCAGTAGATGATCTTTAATCATTAATAGAACAATAACATTCTTTCTTTCCTTCCCCCCAGAGAGGTGCATCCACTATGTTGTCTTTTTTATTTTATTTTATTTATTTTATTTTTTTTATTTTTTTTTATTTTGTAGAAGTTACAAATAAATTTCACTTCTTTTTTCTCAGGACTAAATGTGAAAATAGGCTACTATTTATTTCATATTAAGGATTCTAACAACAGTTATGATTTAATGTTATGGTGAATTTCCATTCTTGTTATCTTAAAATTATTAGTAGTAGTAGTGTCATAATTTCGGTCTGGAAAAACTACTATTAATTAATAAATACGTGGATAATTGTAGAGTACCCAAGATGTGTTTATTTCAAAATAAAAATAAAAATAAAATAATAAAATTTGAATTAAAAATGACCTTATTTGTCCTGACGGCCACGTCTGCGGCCAGGACGAGACTACAGTCCTGTCAGCAGACCTGGCCGTCAGGACTGTAGTCTCGTGATTTCTCGCGATGACGGGGGTTCAGCTCGCCATGTTGCTGAGCTAATCTGCCGCTGGGAAGTCCGGTTGTGTTTAGAGAGCCGGTTCTTCCGGCTCGACTCACTGAACAGAACCGACTCAAGGTGGCTTTTTGATGCCTGAATTAATTTATGACCTAAAATTATGTGTAAAATGAGCTGATAAGGAACAAAACATCAACAATAAACATGATATTTATGTTTATATGAACACTTCTTCATCAGTGGTTCTGTTTCACTGGGATCACAGCCTGTGGCCCAAACGGTCTGACGGAGCTCTGGGTGTCGGTCCAGGCGGTCGTGGTGTCCCGGATGCTTCACTTCCACCAGCAGCAGGTTCACCTGCTCCTCTGTCCTCCTCCCGCCGTCCTGGTGGCGGTTCGGATGTTCCGCTCGTTCCGCTCCGGGAGTCGGTTCCAGGAGCCGCTTCGTTCGCGACACACGCGCAGGAGCTCAGCTGTCGGTGCTCGGCTGGTGGTCCAAGTGGAGCGAAACCAGAAGAAAGCAGGTCAGCAGACTGATTCAGTAGTTTATGAACATTTCAGGGTTTAAACTGGATCGAACTGTTGGTGCTGCTGCAGCCGTGAGCCCAGTGCACGTCTGGTTCCGCTGATGTGACGGAGTTCTAACTTCCTGTGCACAGTTCTAACTTCACCGTTTCCAGGCTGCAGGTGGTTCCTGAAATCTTTTATTAAACTGGAACAAGTACCGAGTAAATAATGTGAATAATGTGGCTGTTGGACCTGCACAGGTTAAATGAGGACCTGTTGAGTCCAAAGGTCCTCATGCTGCAGTCAGAGCAGCTGGTCAATGAGTTACCACCTGAGCAGGTCCAGGTGTGCTCACAGCTCTACCTGCACTCACACTGTCTCACTTGTAAATAAATCAGCACCGTTTGTCTCTTCAGGTTGAGCAGAACTCTGATCAGAGCAGCATGTCAGCGCTGAGCGGGAAGGTCCAGACCGTCCTGGGCCTGCTGGATCCAGACCAGCTGGGCCGCACCATGACCCACGAGCACCTGACCATGAGCTTCGAGTGCTGCTACTTCCCCCCTCCCCTGGGGGACGAGGCGGTGGCGGAGAACCCGTTCCAGATGCAGCACATGCACTGGCTGCGGCAGAACCCCTACAGCTGCCACGAGAACCTGCTGCTGCAGCAGGAGACCGGCGCCGTGCGGGACGAGCTGCTGGCCTACAGGAAGGCCGGCGGGGGCACCATCGTGGAAAACACCACGACCGGCATCGACCGGGACCTGCCCACCCTCCGGCAGCTGGCCAAGGACACCGGGGTCCACGTCATCGCGGGGGCCGGGTTCTATGTGGACTGCACCCACACTGAAGCCACCAAGAAGATGAGTGTGGAGAAGGTGAGGCCCGGTCAGCGGTCAGACTCCAGTCAGAAAGTTTTCAACTCTTTATTCCACAGGGTGTGAGCTGCTTCAGTGTGACGGGTCCGACACCAGCCGCCGGGTCTTTATTGCTCAGTCATAGGATTGGAAAATGAAGCACATACATAAGTTGTGCAGACAGGTTGATCCATCACCCGCTCGCTCCTCACTGGCTTGTTGATGTGCAGGGATTCCTTCTGTATCTTCTGATAGATTTGAATGGATTTCTGGCTGCTCAGTGTCACCTTCTGGTAGCGGCGCACTGAGAGCGTGTGTTTGCTCTTCATGGATATTTAGATGTTATCAGTCAAACCTAACAAGTGTTCAGGTTTTTAAGAAGGCAGCAGAGAAATCAGATACCGTCGTCTTGATGCACTGATGTGTCAGTTGCCCGTTTATGAAGAGTGATGTCGTCCTCCTCTAACTCCTCGTTTCTGCTCCGTCAGCTCACAGACATCATCGTCAGCGAGGTGCTCCACGGCGCCGACGGCACAGACATCCGATGCGGCGTGATCGGAGAAATCGGCACCTGCTGGCCCATCACGGAGAGCGAGGCCAAGGTGCTGAGGGCCTCAGCCCACGCTCAGGCTCAGCTGGGCTGTCCCGTCATCATCCATCCCGGCAGGAATCCCGCCGCCCCAGCTGAAGTCATTCGGATTCTCCAGGAGGCCGGCGGTGACATCAGCAAAACTGTCATGTCTCACCTGGACAGGTGAGAAGGTCCCTGACAAGTCTGTTAATACAGACAGAATTAGAGCAGCTGCTCTTGCCGGCCTCGCTACGTCCTGTCTGACGGCTCTTCTCCTTCTTACTAAACATAAATGCATAAAGAAGGATTCTGTCTGAGAACAACAACAACAACGTGTCCGTTTGGTCGGACACGTGTGAAGCAGTGAAGATCCTCCTCACAGAAGATGTTATTTACTATCAGCATTGTTTCACAAACATTGTGTTAGATTATCCCTACAGACACACTCATATCTACAGTCTGAGGCGTTATTGGTGGTAAATTAGATTTTAGGGGAACTCCAGTGTCTGGCCGACCCCTGACCTTTACTTCCTTTCTCTCTTCCTGCTACCACTGTTGAATGCAGGTAAAGATATTAAATTGTAATCATTAAAAACATGCGTAATAATGATTTAAATGAGTGTAACATGAAGTAAAACCTTTTCCTCTTTTTCTTTATTCATGAGGCGCTTACAGAGACACTAAATTGCTCTTTTTGCTGTTTTTTTTCTTCCCTTTCTGCTGTTTTTTTGAGCTGTTAACTGATCAGTGCCGTCTAACAGGAGGACGTTTTTACACAAGTAGAACAAACGAGGTCGTTTTGAGCATGAAAACCACTTTACAGGTGTTTTTGTTGCAGGTCATAATGTTGCCTTCACCTCTCAGAACTTTTACCGATGAAGAGAAGTTCTAATAAATGGTTTTGTGATCATGTCTTTATTCTGTCTCGGAAACAAGCTGGTTTGCTTCTGTTTAATTTTACCCTCCATCAAGTTAAAATACGGCATCACTCGCTGACTGTGTTGGCTTTCTGTCGCCCTCCTGCAGGACTTTTTTCGATGACGCTGAGCTGCTCGAGTTCGCTAAGCTGGGAAGTTACCTGGAGTACGATCTGTTTGGGACGGAGATGCTGAACTACCCGTACAACCTGGACGTAGACATGCCCAGTGACTGCCAGAGAGTGAAGGCGTGAGTAGCACCGCTCTGGGTCGACCTTCTGTGTCCACGCTTTAGCCTGAACTGTAACTCTTGTGCTCCACTATGAGGTCAAATCCGTCTTTCTTGTTCTCTGAGCGAATCCATTCCTGTGTGAACAAGATGAATTTAGCCACACATGAAGGCAGCCCGATAACTTCATGTTTCTTTGCTCGTGTTCAGCCTGGCGCTGCTGGTGAAGGAGGGCTACGAGGACAAGATCGTGGTCGCACACGACATCCACACCAAGAACCGTCTGACCAAGTACGGCGGCCACGGCTACTCTCACATCCTGAAGAACATCGTGCCCAAGATGCTGATGAGGGGCATCTCACAGCACCAGGTGGATAAGATCCTCATTGACAACCCTAAACGCTGGTTGACCTTCAAATAAATCCCAAAAAAACAAAATGACACAGGAGGAATGGTGCTATGATTTTATCTTCAGATGACGATGAACACTTGAAGACCTTTGCAGTAAGCACCGTCCAGACCCGTTGATTAATGTGCTTTTGAACCTTTAGACCAACAAGCTCACAGAGTTGGTGCATAATTAGTCTTTAATTTCAATCTTTTTTAAAATTGTCAGCAAAGAGAAATGTTTCATGACTTCATCTTTCTAAAGCAAAATAATTCCAGGCTGTTGTTTCATCCAGCCAAAAGCATTTTTAATAGAGATTTTTTTTTTTATTAATTAAAACTTGATTTGATATATGTAATCATACATTATTCACTTTGTCAGCAAGCGATATAAAGGAGCCTTGCGTGATCACAGTGCCTCTCATCGAGCAGTCGAGTTTTAGCCCCATTTATGCCACGGGAAATATCGTTTGTTTGCAGAATGTGATTACAGTGGAGGATAAATATCTCCAATCTCTACAGGTTCTCTGCAGCGGTGCTCACAACTGTGGTGCTAATTGATTTTTTAATTTCAATGTCAATGTCATAGCCGCTTTATTTGTATTTGTAAGTGACATTTCTGCAAACACGTTGCATGGGAGGGAAATAATGAGCGTGTTGGTAATCAGTATGCTGCTCTGCTCTTGACACAATGCGGCTGTGTTAGATGAGTTGTCCTGTTGCCCCTCACTGGGAGTCTGTGTGTCTATGGGAGGCTGAGTGGCTGGCAGGCCCAGATGAAGGACATGTTCTCCTCTCATCTGGGAACAGGTGGCCTCACAGGGTGACTTCACCACATGATCAATGGCACGATCGCCACAGCTGACTGTGCGAGCCGCGAACAGCTATATAACTTTGATTAATCTTGGGAGAGGATTACAAAGTGAGTGAGAGGATTTAATTTGACGTTATATTTTAAGCGGCGGCCCGATCTGGAGGGGCGTGATAATCAGCAAGCAGATTGATGAATGTTGTCGAGCTCGAGGAAACATATCTGTTAGCGCGGCCGGCCAGTTTTTGAGATGGTGACTAACCACCAGACCACCCTGTCGCCCCAACCAGATGTCATGTCGACACACAAGAAAAATGATCCGTTTTGTGACAGCGAGCATCACCATGGCCCTTTACAGACGCTTGTTTTTCTTTGAAGCCTCTTTATGCTGCACAGTGTTAAAATGTCAACTTTTATAGACATGCATAACTACAGCGTTTAACATTTTCACCCAAAATGCAACAACTATGACATATTCTTTGGAAAGTAAAGCACACAAGTGGACTAACAACACCGCAAACAGAGTATGTGAGTACAACATCAGCATCTATAATTGATCGCTAGGGGTCAATACATTGAACTCTCAATCTACAGTCACTCAGTTTATGTTACCACAGCAGCTACAGTTTGTTTGACATATCGGCAAACTTAATTTGCAAAGCCTAACAGTTCATTCAGGGTGCACAAGCGACACTAATCAACCTGACATGAGTACAACTCAGGGCTGTACAAAATAAAATTCATTATTGTTTTCCTGTAATTACATTGTCAGCTTGTCATATTGCAGGACGCTGTTTTCTTTTTTGCATGACTTCCTCCACATCTCTCCTGGTTCTTTTGAAATACAGAAACGGTGAGCTCTGTCTCTAATAATCCGGCTGACATTGAACTGAGCACGAGCAGTGAAGCAAGCTAAATGTAGAGCAGCTCTTTCCTCCCCTCCGTGTTTCAATCAGCGTACAACATGAAGCCGGAGAAGGTGCTGTACTTGTTGTTGTTGCCCCCGTGCGCCTTCCCGCCGTCCAGCTTGATGTAAATCTCGTCCCCGGGCTCCAGATGAAGAACCACACTGTTGCTGGCGTAGTCGTAGTTCTGGTCGGCGTCCTGTGCGATGGCACTGGCTCTCACCTGGAAGGCAAATCGAGCATTTCTGGTGATTTTGAAATCAGCACCGCGGACAGCTCAATCAGGGATTTTCATTTCAAGCTTTAAACAATCTTCACACAACTTCATTGTAACCTGATTTGTGCGTCTTGCTTGTGCGTAAAAACGCAAAAAGTGATCGTCTGTCAAATGATGTGTTTGTACTGAATGTTACAAGCAAAGACTACAGAATCAAGTGAAGCCAAATAAAAGATAGTTTCATGATGACACTGAGTGGTCCTACCTGGTTGTTTTTACAGAGGTCAGCCCACATGCTCGTTCCGTCCCCGCCTCGCATCAGCACATGGTAAACAAAGAAGTAAATCCCCGGTATCGAACAGGTGAATTTTCCGGTAGAAGGATCGTAGTGGTTGCCAAGGTTTGTGACAACGTCGTCGAACTTCAACACTTCATATCCCTCGTGCTGCTTCTTTAGTCCTGCGTAAAACGCAATTTTTGGAATGGTGTTGTAAGTGGCTGCGCTAATCGCTCCATTTGGCCCATTTGCTCCTGGCGCACCGGGTGGACCCGGTGGACCAGGTGCCCCTCTGTCCCCGGGTGGACCAGCAGGTCCGGGTGGCCCGGGTTCTCCAACCGGACCCCTGGGGCCCACCCTCCCGACGCGCCCCGGCTCTCCCTGAGGACCCTGGATGAACGTGGGGAGCGACTGGACCAGGCGGTTGTCTTTGATCGGGTTGGTTGCCTTGGCTGTGGCCGTGGCCGCGGTCCCGTGGGAGTCACACACCATTTGGCAGGATCCGAGCATCTCGTAGCGGGCGGGAGGTCCGGCGGAGTTCACCACGACCGGAATCAGAACCACCAGCACCAGCACCAGCGCGACGCCACAAACACCAGTTGCGATCATCTGCGCTCTGCGGATTCGCGGTGTTCTCCCGAGTGGATGGTCGTCCAGCCTGATTGTGGGCGATATTTTAGCAGAGGGAAGAATCTGAGCCGCTCTGGTATCGTGCTGCAACTTTTGGAGATGAAACAGTCCTTCAAATGTTTACGCGTAAAAGTCACCATCCACAACTTTTAAGCGTTGCAGAATCCGTGCAGCGGTTTCATGTCCAGCTTCTCACCGCAGGAATAAAAAAACCCACGACGGAAGGTTTTCTGCCAGAAAAACTACAGTCTACAGCTCAAAGTCGGTCGCACAAGTTTCTGCCTCCGTGGTGCCACAGGAGAGAATGGGCAGAAATTAACCGTTGCTCGTTTGTGGGTTTGGAGAGTGAGGGGAGGGCTGGAGGTGATGGATGGGATGGAATCCATGCATTTCTTCAATCAAAAGAGAGAAAGTGAACAACATACAAACACTGATGCAACTTGGGAGCGTTGAAGCGTGACTATTTCATTTTGTTTGTGTGTCTGTGTGTGTTTGTGGAGTCAGGGAGCGACTTTTGTTGAAATCTCAGCCGAGCTTTAATGCAGTATGTATTACTTTTCCTATTGATTATTGCAGCGTTCCATCCCACAACATGTTATTAGCGCTTATCCAAACAGCTCTAAAGGTCTTGAGCATAATTAGGCCCATTTAAGACAAAAAGCTATACTCCTTTGGCACCTGGTCACACCTCAGTGGCTCCCCGCGTCCAATTTATCACTTGGAGAAAATCTATAGAGCCAGTGAAAGGAAGAGGGGAGTCAGTAGGAGCTGGCAGTGAAGGATGGCTTCACACAGATATACTGATGAAATGAATGCTGAGGCATTTAGAAAGAAAAGAGGGTGAAATCACTTTATTAATTACCAATGTGAATTCACCATCAGCGCGTGCTCATTAAAGGAGAATCCGGTGGCACTGGTGTCATATTAGGGTCATTAAAATGATGTCAGGCTTCGGCGAGGTTTGAGTGATGAAGGGCTGATTCCTGGTGAGGAGGGCAGATGATGATGTGCTCATGAATGCAGAGGATGTCACTTTGTCGATGGCGACTCACTGCCAGGTGGACAGGAAGAAAAACTACACACAGTGCTGTTTATTTAGGAGGAGGGACGCTTTGATTGCAGCACAAATTAAATTCTGTCTTAGTCGCTCATGCAAAATGTGACCATTAGCTCAGAAAGAGTTGAAAAGATATGGCTTTGAAAATCCACAGTAAGCAGCCACGTTCCCTCCTACTGTCACAGACAAAACTGTTTAAAGGTCATCTGATGTCTTTATGCAATATGTGCTTTAAGTGAGACGCATTCAACTTAAAGGTTTCACTGTGAGCGACAAAGCTCTGCTGTTATCTTCATGAATCTCCTGTGGCTCCTCGTTTCATCACTGATCTGTTCATACATTTTCTATTTCAGAAAGGATACAACAGCAGTGTAAGAGATAAAAGAAAAGAATAGAGTTACATAACTACGGAGCATATAGACTGAACGTCTTCCTTGTTTGTACATGTCAAGGACAAATAAGCACATCCTGTTAGAGCGGGCCAGATGTGCACAGATGTGACGTTCTTCTGCAAAGACTTTAAGGATTAGGAGGAAGAACAGTGATGAAGGAAGCTGTACGGTGTGTTTTTGGCACTTGAGACAGAAAGAGGTGAAGATGTCTGATTCAGGAGGGTCTGCTCAGTCAAGGTAGCCCAGATAAAGGGGACAAAAGGAAACCAGGCTGGTGTAAGGAGATTAAAGTGAATCTCAGTTTGAAGACACATCATGGCGTCTTTGATTCCAGGCCGGCGGTCTAATGAGGATGAATCATTAAACTTAACAGGGATGAAGTTGAATCACACAGAGTTAACGCTCACGTCAGTGTTGACATGAAGGGGGTCCAAGGTTTTCTTGTTAGGGCTGCACGGTGGAGCAGGTGGTTAGCACTGTCGCCTCACAGCTAGTAGGTCGCTGGTTCGTGTCCCGGTGAGGACACCCGGGATCTTTCTCCATGTTCTCCCCGTGCAGCGTGGGTTCTCTCCGGGTTCTCCGGCTTCCTCCCACAGTCCAGAAACATGCTGAGGTTAATTGGTGATTGTAAATTGTCCGTAGGTGTGAATGTGAGTGTGCTTGGTTGTCTGTCTCTAAGTGTAGCCCTGTGATAGACTGGTTAGCTGTCCAGGTGAACCTGCCTTCACCCTGAGTCAGCTGGGATAGGCTCCAGCCCCCCATGAGCCTGGTGAGGATTAAGGTGTAGAGATGATGGATGGATGGTTTTGTTTTTGTTGTTGATGGCAACATGAAAAACTGTGAACTTTTTAGGAATCACCTGGTTTTCTGCATTAACGGGTTTAATAAGTCATGTGATGCACAAACAAGCACTTTGGTGTCTTTCTTTTTTTTTTTGGGGGAAACCTCCAGGTGCACAGTGATCCTTTTAGCTTTTCATTTCTTATTTTATTTTTTCATCTACTTTTACTTATGCTCACTACAGGGTTGTTGGGTTTTCTGTGCATGCATCTTTGAACCGTATTAACCTCATTAAGTGAGTTAATTTGTACCATATCCACAGTAGTGCTGCAGATTCTCACTGTAATATCAGGTTGTGATGTTAATCTCTGCTGGACAGCGCCGTGGCTCACTGTCTGTTGTTTTAACTGTGCTGTATAAATAAGGACGACTTGACTCACTGTGGTTTTATAGTCTCTGAGCCGAGCGCCCACTTCCAGAGCGAGCATCCACAACGCTGATTTATCCCTCCGTATTGATGGTTTATAACTAAACTCTTGTGCTCGGTTGACTTTTCAACCCGGACTCGGTACAAATGCACATCGTTTCAAAGGCTTCTCTTACTCTTTCTCGCCTCTGTGACGTTTGGCGACAGCTGAGGTTAAACAGGTTTCACCTCATGTTCTCCAGGAAACTCATGATCGTATGTAAGTTAATCATCAATTATAATTAGATATAAATATCAGCTAAGGAAGGTTTTTAATATCATCTAAAGAGGAAAAGCTGCCACACAATAATGTCAGGTTGGTGGAGGCGTACAGGAAGGTCAAACAAAACCAACATTTATTGAGACCATTTTTCATTCTAATTCTTTTTTTTCTTTTAATTACACGTTTTTTAATAAAGTAGGCGAGATGTATCATTAAGTGGATTTAAAAGCCTCCTCCTTCAGCCTTCCACTACTGCAGCCTTGCTTCCTTTGACATGTTTTCCTCCACTGTACCTCATTTAAGCACAAGAACCAATATTTTATTGATGCCTCATTCACAGAACACACAGTAAATGTTATTGTGCTCCAGGTTTCCCTTTAAAACAAACCAAAAAAAAGACATCCTTGTTTTCATTGCTTGAGCTGTCATGTTTATTCCCCCCTCTCTCGCTGTTTCCTGCTTTTATTTAAATGCTTCATTTATGCAGGTGACAGTGGTTTTGGAGGGCCGTGCATGTGAGTTAACGCACAGGGCCGCCGCTAAAGCGACACGTTTTCTGTGGGATGGGTGCAAAGTGCTAAATAGACCGGCATGTAAGTGAATAGTATGTGAAACGCACACGCTCGGTCACACACGCACAAACACAGTGGGACATACTGTGGCGGCTATGAGTCAGTGAGCACTTGTTAGCGGTCAGGCTCTTTCCCTCCAGTTGGCACAAGCCTCCAGTGACTCAGGGAGACTTGTCGACCAGGAGCCAGAGTGAACAGCAGTGTCAAAACGCACCAAAAAGCTGTGGGAAGAAAAAAAAACACACACACACACATAACATGTATTAGAAGCTTTCCGCAGCATCGCACTGAATCAGAGTCTAAATATTAGATGGAGAGAATCAGGAGCTCGCATGTGTCCGTGCTTGGCTCTCATCACTCCCCTCACCTCCGCCACTGTATTGAGAGATTCCTCTGGTGGTGAGGAGCTCTGACAGGTTGTTTTGAGTCTCAGCTTCGGAGTTCATTTACAGCCAGTCAGGCAGGAGTCCTCTGGGAGTCTGATGATTTTTGACACCCGGACAAGCAGATGTTCAGAGGACATGAATAAAACATGCAGCCCATCTGACCACGGACCGGAGGCTTTCCGAGTGTCTAATGAAATCCGGGGCGTGATTTCAATTCACAAAGAAAAAAGAGGAAAAAAAAAAAAAAGGGAAAAAACAACCGCCTTTGTCAGATAAGTTTGATGCTGCATGAAATATGTATGACCTTTATGTAGCCTGACCTGATTGGCTAAGCAGGGTTCAACTGTCGTTATGACAATCAAAGCTGAGACAGGTTTGTCAAGGAGAGTCTGTGGTGAATGAGAAGGAAACTGAATGGAGCTCTCATAACCGGCCAGGAATACCAACAGAACCATGATGTGACCAGTGACACCCGGGCGTCGGTCGACTGGTGCGACGCCATGTGTGCTGCTGGAGCCGTGAGAGGATGCTCGGCCTTCGCTGCTGCTTTTATTTTTTCTTTCCCACATTCTGCTCTTTCAGAATTTGGGTGTTTGTTTTTCTTTCCCACTGAAAAGCCGGTGAAAAGGCTGGACTCGACAGTTCAGCTCAGCGGGGGGCAGCGCGTTACCACACCACCCACTCAAAGCTGCTCCTGTACTGTATTTAAGATGGAAACGCAATCACAGTTGTCCTGGGTGGGACTGAGGCGGCGCTCCGGAGCAGCGCTTTTTCATTCAAGTGCAAATCAAGGTGTGATTGCTTTGTTTCATTTTTTTGTTTTGTTTTTTTTGCTTTTGCATTATTTTTGCCTCCATTTGACCAGAAAGCTGCTTCTTAAAACCCTTTAACTGTGTGCTCGTGTCCTTCTGTCGCTGTGCTGCAGTTTGTTTTGTTAATTTCATTTTTATTAGCAGTGTGGGAGGGAATGTTCTCAATGTACTCCGTGGGTGTCCGTGCATTGACTCATGAAATAATACACCGAACTCAGATCTGCGGACGTAAAAAAGGCCTCAAAGTACATCTGAGACTGTTCAGACGGAGCTTCCAGAACACTTTGGGTC